CTAACAGTACAAACCACCCTCTGGGATTAAGTACTACCTAGATAAGTATGTACTAGGCACTGCTGGACTTAACCCGAGCTAACTAGTTCTCAGCTGGGAAGACAACAGCCCGCATCACAGTACTCAGACAGACCAGACCAGCTGCTGTTTGGAGCCTCTCGCTGCTTCACCATGCAAACTGCTTCTCTCCCCTTGCGTGTGGTGGTGCAAACCGCCTCCCAGGTCAGCCGACTGTCCGGTAGATATTCAGAATAGCCTTACTCCCCACCAGTCTGAAACGTAACAGCATCTGCCAGTCTAGCACTTCTGCTATGTGTAACACACAGCTAGGATCGGATATATCCAGCGGACTAATCTTTAACTGTTGGTATCTAATTGGGACTTCCTGCTAGCACAGATTAGATTCCTTGCTTGGGGGAAGCTGTATCTGCACTCCCAGCCAGACACTGAGTGCAGAGCACCAAGAGGCACCCGTTCGAGTGCACTGTCATGTCCAGCTGCTCTAAGAGCGGCAGAAACAGCTTTGCAGGACGGCGGCAGCACTTGCACAGCACACTCAGTCACCACGGACGGCACCAACTTACTGCTCACACACGCCAATTTCAGAGGAGAAATTAAAAACGTAAAAGTAGTCAAGAAAATATTCATCCAATATTGCTACAGATTCAGGAAGAATCTCAGTTTTAGGGATACTCCTGCATTTGATACTTGCAAAAACAAACCCTACACTGAGTATGAGAACCAATAGTTCAGATTTTGAGGAAGCCTAAGCAGTTTTCCAGCTTGCAGACTTGAGTCACATCAAGTTTACCAGAAATTATATGCTGACCTTCCAACTTTAAATTGTCTCAGGCACACTCTGGGGGATGTGCAGAATACCTCCTTCTTACCTTTTCTACAATTAAAACCAAACACAACTACCACACTCTACAGCAGCTGATTTGGACACATATGCTGCATAACAATAGCTAGCAAGAGCCCGTAGCAGCAGCCCAACTATAAATAGCATCAGCTACAGCTTCTCTAAGAAAGGGTTAGGGACACACAGCACTTCAAGTGGATTGGAATGGATGCAGCAGAAGCTCTTGAGATGACTAAAACCAAAAGGTGAATGAGACTGAGATCTCATATCTGCAGGTTGTTCTCTGGTGTCTCTTTCCATTCCAGGCACCTATTTGCAGTCAGCAAAGCACGGAAAAGCTCTCTGCAAAGACAGCAATATTGGCTAGAGCACTAGTTCTCCTCCTCAACACTGAGCCCCTGCCTCCACAGGCAAATCCATCCCCAGCTACTAAACTCACAACATAATGTCTGCTCTGCAGTGTTTGTTCCAGTACTTCAGGGGTTTTCTATTCTCTTAAGCATGTGCCTTGAAAAAGTAAATACACAAACGCATTAGTGGCACAATGCAGCCCTTCAACAGCTAAGCCTGTCCTTCAAGAAACATGCTTGCCTCCAAAAAGATCACATAGCAGATCCACCACCTATCAGCAGGTGAACACAAAGTGAGCCAGGAGACACTGCAAAATACAACTGCCTCGTCATTATCTCCTTTCCGAACCCAGGGACTGCTCCCTGACCTGCCTGTGCAACTAAGGTCACCTGGAGCGGTGGGGAAGAACAGCTGATGCCTGGAATTGGTAAGAAACAGTGCTCAATCTCAGGGCACACATCTCTACTGCTCAGGGTACTCATTCTGCCCAAGTCAAAACAAACTAAGCCCAAGGCTCCTTCCAGAAGTTTGCAAACGTATTCCTGCTTTCAAATGGCCCATCATTGTCCTTCTAGGAAATGGGATTCTCTTCTGTATTGACTAGAAAAAAACAAAACACCATTCCCACCACCAACACAAACCAAACAAAATGTACACTATTTCCTCTTAACTTCTTCTGCACATGTTCTCCACTAATTACTTCATTATTTTGGTTTTTCAGCAACCATTCTTTTCACCTCACCTCCAAAAGCTTTCTATTGCTGAGTTATACCATAAAAGGTTGCTGATACCAGCACCATTGCTAGCAACTCTTGGAGAGGGAACATTAGCACAGGGAGTGAAATGCAGCAACGTCTTACACAGGCTACAAAATCTGAATGTCCACTTCAGTCAAATACCAATACTTCCAAAAAAAGGAGAATCATCTGTGCTGCTTTCTTCCTAATCTACTCTACCACAGAGTCATTCTTTTTGGACACCAGATTCTAAGAAATCTCTACTAGACCTAATAAATATTTCAATTATATCCATCCTATTTAAGTTATAAGCTCCTGAGGACACAGTGTCCTTGATTTACCACTTGCAAAGTGTCAAAGAGCATGACGTTAGCTATTCATTTTCACATTGTTCAAACCATTAGGCAGTTCAGCAAGTGGTAGAAGGGAAGAAAATACATTACAGATATTTAACACATGCATATACCAAGTGGAGAGAGAGATTACTGCCAGCATTCACTAACTACAGACACAGCACACCAAGCGTGAAAATGCACGTGCTGGATACACCACTCCAGGAGGGAAGATCCCTTTCAGGCATGGGCCATACCTGCAGACCAGGGTTGCGATAATGACACACCATGCCGTACAGGTCAGCATTTTTTTTTTTCTTCCGATGGCGGCAACACAGCCAAAACGAGTAGAAGAGGAGAAAGAGCAGGTCCAGAGCGAGGCAGGCGAGAGCAATGCCGCCCAACAGCAACAGGGCCTGCGGGAAACAGAGACAAGCATCACGTATCTGGCCACGGCACAGGCGGAGCTGGGAATGTGAATCAGGGCACGGATATTTAAGGGCTGGGCAGTAAGAGAAAACATAATTTTTTTTCAAGATATCCTGTGGGTTTTGTGTATTTTTTTAAAATGTAAGCATGAGATTTTTAGACCCACTTTCTCCCCTCTCTGCATCCCACACAATGAAACAGTGTTCTGTACCTAAGCAGTAAATAGCTGAGCCATTTTGTTTGTCCCAGTCTGCAAAGAGCCTGTGTGAATCTAAGAGGGTTTCCTCTTTACTCCTAATCAGAGGTCAGCAGATTTAAATAAATAATTTTTAAAAAGTTCAGCCAGCTGCCTCTATCTGTACAGTTCTTTAATCTTCATGAATAAATATGCAGGCTTATTCATTAGAAATCTAAGTGCATGAGTGGGTTTGAAAGGGGGTGGAATTTATTATACAGGCATGAGATTGATTTTTAAAAAATTAATCCCCATGCAATGCTTCTGTTCAAGATAGGCCTAGAATAAATGCTGAACCCCTCCGTATACCATCCACATATGTAGGTACAACAAACGTGGATGCTAGAGACACACGAGGTTGGAGCCGTCACAAGCTGAGTTACTGTTATGCCTATTTCGAGTCAGATGTTCCTGGGAGGAAATGCAAGCAGTAAGTGTTTAACTCCATTCCAATTTCTTTTTATTCAGAAAATCCTGGCCAAAGCCCAAAAATGCAAAACAGTTTTGTTAAATAAAATTAAAAGAAAATTTAAAAAACCATTCTAACACCTAATCAAACTACACTTTCCCATGTGAATGAATGAATGAATGTTTTACCCACATGATTTTTTGGATAAACCCTTGGTAGTGGTGAAAAACACTTAACTTACTAGAAATTACTTAAATATCTGGAAAGGGCCTACGTCACCTACCGCTGCCCCAGTATCAGGAAGGCAGACATAGATCTGTATGAGCAAACTAAACCAAAGGTTTGGTAGTTCAGGGTTTTTTTGGTTTTGTTTTGTGGTGGTTTTTTTTTTTTTTGATCAGTATCTCTTTTCCTCCCCATGCAGAAATTCTTAAAAAACATTTATACGCTTCTGTCCTGTCTGAAACAACAACTTCCTCCTGGTTAAAGAAACAAAACAAAGAATGCTGTGATTATAGTACGATTTTCATCAAAACTGGTGACTGTTTCTAACAGGGTCTGGTAGTAACTTGCTCTTCGTAGACTTTTCTTCCCTTTCTTTCCCCCCACTCCACTCCATAGGTACTCCCTGCTGAGTTATTATCCTGGCAAACTGTACGAGCCACACAACACACTTTCCGGCCAAGGAAACGTCAGTGTGTACAGAGTGCAGGGCCCGTCGCCATACATAACAAGATTCACGCTCCTTAAACCTAACCGCTGCGTCACAGATGCTCCACATAGCCGCCTGCGGTTTGCCCTCCCAGCCTTAAGAAACCCACCCGAAGCCCACCAAGCACCCTGGGACGAGGAGAGCTTACAGGTGCTCCTTTCCCAAATGGAAAAAAAAGCAGAAACTCAGCCCTGTTGTAGAAAGTGAACTTTTGGATTTTTAAACAAAGAGTGGGGGTGGAAGGGAAAAAGCCCTATCCCCCTTTCCCATGGTTACGCCAGATGGTGTGCACGCTGCTTGAGTTCCTGAGCAGAAAGGGGCCTTCGAGAGGGAAGCTGCCTTCGGAGCCTCACGTTCTCCCACTTCTGAAGGCTTGCCATGTACGAGCACTCAATACTAATTGAACTAACACATTTGGCGTACCGAAGCTCCTCGGGGATATTCTTTATTTTTTAAACACGTCAGGCTGCTGTAACGCAAAGCTTTCCTGCACTGCTGCCTGCACTTCTTTCTTCACACCCTCAACCCTCCCGCACACTAAAAGGCAGTACCACTGGAAAGATGAACCCAGCTGAAAACATCCTCCCAGCAACTCTACCAGCAAAAAATTCACACTGCAGCTCCAGATGTAGGGGAACAGCCCCTATTAAAAGGAAAAAAAGGAAATAGTGAAGGGAAAAAAATATCAAATTAAAGACTGCCATGCAGCAAGCAACCTAAAGTTCTCGCTTTGAAGGGACACTTAATATATACTTTAATTGATGCATCTGGCCAAAAGGACTTGGCTGGCCAACCACACCACGATCTGTGTTTCATTTTCCAGAGAATATTTGTTTTCCATTAATAGATATGTGCCATGACAACAAGTGAAATCATCCAGCAGAGCAGTTATTAATCTGACTGATGAGTCAGTTTAGGACCCAGAGACTGGCTGGCAGCGAAAGCCTGGTCACAATCACGGCATGCATGTGCCTGCTTGTCAGGATTAAGCGATAGTATTTAAAAAAGGAGGGTTGAGGCTGGATAAACCCTCAGACACTCTATCCTGCAACAGTAAATCTGGGACTCGGTTATCCAAGGCCACATTATCCCAAGTAAATGTAAAATTATGCACTGGGCCTTTTGCCACAAAAGAGCATCGATTCGTCTTCAAACATTTGCTGAGCTATCAGAACCTTTATAGCAAATGATGCATGAACTGCCCTTACAGGAAAATGGAGACAACTTGGAGGAGCAACATTTTACCACTGTGCTGACACTAATGGCACAAGTGGAGACAGAGCAGTCCCTGAAAATGAGTGTAAATCCAAGTGGTATCGGCCAGAGTGGCAGGAGGCGAAGCTCCAGCGTTAGGAAGCACTTTCAAAATAAAAGCTAATAGCAGTACAGAGGGAAGTAACCACCAGCAGCACTTGGAAAGGAACTGTGAAACCCGAATACACTCGCTCTCGTGCAGGAATGGTGCTTGATAGCCTGCTGCAGTGTTAACAGCCTTTCTCAACTCCAGCATGGTTGCCAAGATTCACGGTATTTACTCTCTCCATGGCAATAAGAAGCCAAAAAAGGGGCAGAAAATATCTAGGTTCCCATGCACGGAGCCAAGCACCATCACGATAAGAAACACAGGGCATGGCAAAAACATCCCCTACAAAAATACCTGGGGGCTGGTTAGCTCTTCTGCATGGTACGAGGGTACCCATAGGTGCTGATATTCCTAGGGACATACATGTACATCAGCCTTCGGTTAGTACAATCCTTGGTCTCCGTGACCATGCCTTATGTTCCCGTGGATCAATTAACCAACATACAGCCTTGTCTACTGAATGAAAAATCTCCATCCAAAACAACTGCTTTCAGCTCGCAAGTTCCAAACTGCAAGCCATGTCATTAGTTACCTGAACGCATCTGTGGTCCTGGAAGGCTAATTTTGAGCTGCTGAAACCACACTTACAGGATGTATACTCCACCCCATACTATATATGTAGTCACAAAGAGAAGTGATCTACATAAGAACATGAGAAAAGTGATACACAAGATACATTTATTTCCTTAGGAGGGAATGTCTAAAAAAAGCCATGACACATCGTAATGCAAGGGGTAAAAGCTGGGTTGCATGTACCTTAAGTAACAAAGTTGAGCACTGCCTTAAGTGCTCTTTGTTCGTCACTCAGCTGTACAGGAGTGCTGGCTTAGGGACCCTTCCTCACATCACCATGTCCCCTCAGCTACAGTGGCTACTTGGTACAAGAAGCCCTGACAGCAGAACAGGTTTAGAAAGTTAATTTTGAATACACATGGGCTCAAAATAATCCATGTGATTATTAAGTATGAGTTTTACCAATCCCAAAGTATCCAACTTCCAATTACCACATTCTTCAGACCTTAACAGCACTAACAGCAGTATGGCATAGCGAGCAGCTCTGCACATGGAACAGCTGTTTGTGGACAGCACCGCCATTCTACTACTGATTAGAAGGTCCACTAAAACTTCATCAAGAAACTTGAGAGCAAAGCTGAAGCCTTCAGGCGGTCCCTGAAAAGCATGCAGTTTCACCTGTAATCTTCTAGCAATAATTTTGAAGTTATTGCACCTTAAAGCTTCTAACTTCAACCTACAGGATAAAACAGCTACAGCTTTCGTGCAGCTCAACAACACAGCTGTCTTAGTGCCAGACTGAGAACAGTGCATAGTTCTACCTTAAAGTTAACTCTTGCCAAAAGAAAGCTTTCCACTGAATCTGCAACTAATGTTCCTTCTGGATTTTCATGCAGTGACTTGAGATTGTGATAATAAAACACGAGAGAAGAGGTTAAAGGAGTGTGGGAAGAAAAAAAACATTCACCCAGAAGAACAAATGAAGCAAATTGGGCTGCTGCCAAAGGAGCACTCATTTCTATTTATTCCATGAAGAACGGAAGTCGTCTTAGCAAGAAAAGAAACTGCTGTGGGATAGTGTCATGCCTACACTACTTCCTACACAGTTTGTTTTCCAGACTTTGCAACATCTCCGCATACTCATAGATTGTAAGTAACTCCGTCTACCAAACTGAATGTTTTTGTAATGCTGGCAACATGACCAACACTCTGAACCCCTCACCAAGTTGTGCTGAGCACGCTGTGTGCTCAGAGACTCGATTTGCGTTTCTGAATAACTCTGTACGTGCTTGTTGAGATACTTCAGTGTCGCAGGATGTCATTCATCCCACAGCCTCTACAGAAGGATGCAGGCTTTGGTAGGGAACACAGCCAACCGTGTATTGGCAAACGTAATGTGGGGGGAGGATGTGGAAACCACTGCTGATCTCAGCACTAAGCCATCCCTATCTCCTCTGCCCGGGCGACAGGCCTTCCCAGGCCAATTACTGTACTGAACACAGCAGAGGAGCATGGCTGGGCACGAAACGTGCTGTGGAAAAGGCTTTTCCCACGGTACTGAGATCTGTTCTCCTTCGTGAGGGATCCCTCAGCAGCATGGAAAAGCACCATGGAAACCGAGGACAGGTTCCACCGTTTCATCTCCTTATACAGACATCGCCCAGAAAAAGCACACTGTAAGGGAGTGCAGTAGATTTATATATATTTAGGGCAAGTCCACACTGGAGCAAGCAATATAGGCCAACACTTTGCCTT